AAATGCCTTTTACTCTTAAATAACTATAGAATCTGAGCACTTCTCAAGTATTTATGCTGACCACACCCCTGTGAGATAAATCAGTAAATCAGAGAGAGAGATGATTCACATGGCTATGGTGTAGCTGTGGTGGCACATAGAGTAGGCTTCCATCATGAATGGGCCCTTGGAAATCTTCTTTCGGGAAGAGTCAGCATGGGAGGATTTAGGCTTCTTAACTCCCTCAAAATTGCATCTTCCAACTTTATTTGTGGTCAGCCTCATGCTCTACTTCTTTCATCTTATTAGGGGAATTGAAAAATACTATTTCTTTTGTTTTTATAGTGAAATATTTGTAATCAGAAATAAATATAAAGTGAGCACTGTACACTTTGTATTCTGTGTTGTATTTGAAAATGTAGAAAATATCCACAAATTTAAATAAATGGTATTCTATTATTTAACAGGGCAATTAATCGCATGATTAATTGTAATTAATTTTTTTAATCACATGACAGCCCTAGTTCTTATTATGCTTTTCTCCACTAAATTAAAGAGCCCTTTAGTGTCTGGTATTTTCTCCCAGTGACAGTACTTATTATCAATGTAATCAAGTGATATCTCAGTCTTCTTTTTGACAAGCTTAAACAGGTTGATCTCTTTAAGTCTGTCATTGTAAGAGCATTTTCTCCAGCCCTCAAACCTTTTATTTGTGGCTGCTTTTTTTTTTGTTTTTGTTTTTTTGCCCCCTTTCCAATTTTTCAATATCTTTTTTGGTTTGTGGACATCTGAATTGTATGCAGTATCGTTCTCACCAGTCATCTCCTTGCTCTGACTTGCTACACCCCTGTTTATAATTCAAGGGTTGCATTAACCCTTTTTTTGTCGCAGAGTCGCACTGGGCACTCATGTGGAATTGCTTGTCCGCTATGACCCCTAAATCCTTTTCAGAAGCACTGCTTTCCAGGATACAGTCACTCATTCTTCAGGGATGACCTGGATTCCTTGTTCCTAGGTGTATCACTTAACATTGGGCTGTATTAAAACACATTTTGTTTGAAGGGCCCTGCTTACTACGCAGACCAGATCGCTCTGTATGACTGCCCTGTCAACTTTATTATTTACCATTCTACTAATCTTTGTGTCATCTGCAAATTTTGTCAGTAGTGATTTTATGTTCACTTTCAGATCATTGATAAAAATGTTGAATAGCATTAGTCTTAATACAAATCCCTGTGGAACCCTGCTAGAAACTCCGCCATTCGATGATGATTCCTCACTGACTGCTACTTTTTTTTGAGCTCTTTCAGTCAGTTCTTCATCCATTTCCATTTAATGTGTGCTTTATTGATACTGTATACTGCTAATTGTTTGAAACAGAAAGTGGTACAGCCTTACAAAAGTCTACGTATATATTACATCTACACAGGAAGGATCATCTGAAGTATCCACTATTGGCTTCTGCCATAGTATATAGATGTGAACCAATGATCTGATCGGATGTGCTACATCCTATGTAATATCCAGCAATAAAGAATTTTTGGGATATGACTGTTGGGGTACTTGGTACAGTAGGCAGGAAAGCCTGTATAACAAAGGGGATTTAAAATAACCGCATGAATAGTGTCTGTCAATGCAGAAACAACATGGCCTCCACTTACCAGCTTAAGTTTAGGTGGCGTAATCGTAGGACATTAAATTGCAGCAAGGGCGGTTTAGGTTGGACATTAGGAAAAACTTCCTAACTGTCAGAGTGGTTAAGCACTGGAATAAATTGCCTAGGGAGGTTGTGGAATCTCCATCATTGGAGATTTTTAAGAGCAGGTTGGACTGTCAGAAATGGTCTAGAAGATAATACTCAGTCCTGCCTTGAGTGCAGGGGACTGGACTAGATGACCTCTCGAGGTCCCTTCCAATTCTATGATTCTATGACATGTAAGGGAAAAATATGGTGAAGCTCAGTGAGGTGAAAAATAAAGCATTTCTTTAAATTGAGGCTACTGCACATGTGACTTATTCTATTTCTGTAACAAATTATTTAACACGACATTCTTTTGTGTGAAATAATAGAGCAATAACCTGATGGTTACCAAGGAAATGAGAACCAACCAATTTAATTTCATTCTGTGTTACCTTAGGCATCTCTGGCATTTAGTAAAACAAACTATCTTCACATTCTTGTCTGCTTCCCTTTTGATTTTCAGTGAAGGACTGAAACATTTCCTATTCTGTAAATGTAGTTGCCCCATTAGTGCAGAGAAGCACTTTGTAAGAATGATACCCTTTATGTTGCACCTCTGCTCCCCCTGTGAGTGCCAAGGAAAATGTATTTGTCTTACTGCTCAAGACACTTCTGTGTATATTTTTAAGATTGAAGGTCTAATTTTAATGAAGAGTTCATTTCTGTCTTCTGGCTGCACCAGCTTACACAATTTATTTATTCTGTATAAATAACATGACAGTGAATCCCTGGCTAATTCTGCTTCCTTAACAGATATCTGTGCAGTACCGAAGAGATGATGCTTGAAAAGTCTGTCTACAGCTAATCAATTGGAGCAGGTTTCCTTGCTGGTGTAAATTCGTATTTCTGCCCTGATTGGGATACTTGTGCTAAAGGGTACCAGCACTCACTGGCACTATTAAAATGTCACAGACAGCGTAGGTGTGGGCAATGCTGCAAACAAGAAATCCCTAGGAGAGTTCTCACAGGTGTGCAGCCAAGCAACACTGCTACTCCCAGACCGTCTTGACCTTGTAATAGAAAAAGAGAATCCATATCAAGCTGCTTCACAGCATAATCAATCACTAGACACATCAACTGCTCTGGCCATGAAGATTATATATAAATGTACAATATGAGAATATAAAACTACATGAGTGTGAGGGGGAGTGGTTGAAGTGAAGATTCCTACAGTTCTATCCTACAACAATACATTTTATATTTGCAAAATGAAGTATTCCCTCTTTGTGTAGTGTGACATTCATTCTCTCTCTCTCTCTCTCTCACACACACACACACACACACACACACACACACACACACACACACACACACACACACACACTCTAAACAGAATTTAGCAGTTGTTTATATTAGAGGGACACTGTGTCAGAGATCATTGTGACAAATTTAATCTACTACAGACTGTGTACTGAAATACACAATATTCCAATACCCTATCTGCTCACAAGAATGGAGCAGGCAGGCAGATCGGACAGGTGGCATAATATGTGAACACATGAACCCAGAAACAAAAACACAGCTGTTGGATCTAATTTTAAACCTAACAGTCTTGATCAAGTGGCTTTAGATCCTAATTGACTGGCTACGGCTAAATTATTAGTGGGAGCGAGGAGAAGGAAGTTTGAAGATACTGGTGAAAAGCTTTTGATAAAGGCAAGATATATTTGCTCCAGTTATGGTTCGTCCATTTGTCACAGTAAGTATTGTGAATATTTAAGGAAAAAGTGACTGGAAATAAATTCCAACTGGTATGTACCCTATAACATTGCTTATATCAGTCAGCCATTCAGAGCCTTGATAACCAGAATGATATATTGCTTGTACATTTAAACTTTGTTTAAAGCATGTGGGAAAGCACAACTGTTATGTAAATTAGGGAACTATCTAGGAATGATTATACTTTTTCAATGCCCTATTGAAGAATATATGGTCACAGTATCAGTCACAAGGTTATTGCTGAGTTTTTACATCAGATGGAAGGAATGTAACAGACATTACTGTCACCTAAGAGTGCCACCTAGTGGACATTTACAAATCCAGATTATTATTTTTTAAAGCATAGAGGATAAAAATAGGCAATAAAATGCAAGTATCAATTATATTTTAAATTAGCTGTGTAAAATTTCTGATCATTTAGTGGCTTCTAAACATTTTCAGTCTTGTTTTCCATCTTAACAATTCTCAAATAACATTTTTTAAGAGAGTGAGACGTTTGAGCCAGAGTAAGTATAAAGTTAAAGTGGAGCAATAATAGGCTGCTAAAGAAAAGGGTCTTGTGTGTTTCTGTTTAGGAGGGATAACTTGGCTATGATAACTTGCTCTGGACTTGGCTATAAGGACTTGCGCTGAGTTGAAGATTCTCATGTTCTATGACAATCCAGTGCCACACACACACTGGCTTTGGACATCTCCACTTTGTCCTTTTTTACCTGTTGAAGAAAAGCCAAATTGCCAAACATCTGAAATCAGAATAGATTTATCCTTTTTTTTATTTTGGAGAGTCTCGTATTTTTAAAGAATATTCAAGAAAAAAAAAACAAGTTTTTATATTAGTGTGGACGTGGTCATACCAAGACAACGATTTGTCTTTACGCTTCTAGGCCTTGAACACACTAGAATATTGTTTGTTTAGCTAAATTGATTTTTAAAGCAATCTATTTAAACTGTTTAAATCTTTGCAATCCCCTAATACAGAGGCACTTAAACCCCAGTTCAAATGTCTGAATTATCATATCATCCAGATTAAACACAAGATGCTCTAATGCGATCATATCAGTATTGCAGGTTGCAATGCTTATGATTACAGGGTCTTTTTTAACGAGGAAGGAGAAAGACAGGAAAAAATGAATTGTGTTCTCAAATTGCTCATGAAATCTTCCTTTCACAAAGCATTGTAGGTAAAATCAAAAGACCTATGTACCCTCAGTGTTAGAATTACAGGATGGGGGAGGGAGGCGGGTGTGCCAAGCACACCCAGGAACATTGGTAGCTCATTTACCAGGAGGTCAGACTGAAATGAAAGTGGGTCCCTTGTTTTGTTCAGATGAAATTAAACAGTGCTAGTAGAGCCCCCATTAACTTGCAATTTCCTAGCTTTTGTGTGTCTGAAGACAGTTGTGTTAATTCCAATAGTATATAATTTAAGGCACAGTAATAAAGATTTCAAGATAACTGCCTGAGATGCTTGCTTCACTCTGGATTTACTCTATTAAAGTTTATTTCTTGTGCTTCCTTTCTCAGCTTTTGCCTCACTGTCTAATTATGTTATCTTCAACAGGCAAGTACAGAGCCCCCAAAGTTCAGAAAGGAAGATCAAAAAGATCGAAGTGCATTGCTAGCAGATATTCAACAAGGGGCTCGCTTAAGGAAAGTTACCCAAATCAATGACCGAAGTGCACCACAAATTGAAAGTAAGTGTGCAGCTTTGTCAACCCTGAGCAAGGGGCCCAGGCCTGCCAAACTCTTGGCCTGAGTAGTCCTGTAGAAGCCAATTGGACCACTTGCATGACTAAGGGTCTGCAAAATTAGTCAGGGCCTTAAGTTTGTCTATGGCCAACTTTAGTATGCACAACTACTGAGGGAAGAGCTTGATTTGCCAAATTTAGAACCTGCTCTAAATTACAGGTTCTAGATTTGTTATTTAGCACTTTATAGCACCCTAAGTGCACTACAGTAGACATTTCACAGTCAAAATTGAATTTACACTCCTCCCCCGAAGAGCTTATATTCTAAAAGAGAATGTTCAGAAGAGAATTTGTGGACTGTGGAAAAATTAGGAGATCTTTTTTCCTTCCATGTTTTGTTTTATTTATCTGATCAATCCTAGAAGCACAGCTACTCTGAAACAAGAGCATTTATTGTCTGTCTAGCACAGGTTTCCATTTAGTTACAAATACATTATTTTTATTAAATTACCCCTGGAAAACTGATTTTAAATGTAAAAGGTAAAAAATAGTTTTAAAATGAGTTCTAGAGGTTCTAGACACACCTGTAGGTCATTCCATTCTCACACAAACCACTTCCAGGCTTCTGAGTAACTGTTGGCAGGTTGCCAGAAGTTTCTCCAGCACCTCTAACACTGAAGGAAAGTGTTTTACACATGTGTGACAGCTTTAATCTGTGCTGGATACCAGGCTGATCCACAGGGGAAGTGATGCGCAGATCAGCTGGACCCAGCGAAAATAGTGCTTTTTTAAGAGATTACAGGTGACTTCTGTCACTGTCAGCTACTCTTCAGAATTGTATGAAAGATTAAAATCTGAATTTTTTAATGATAGTTTAACAGCTCATCACAAAATGATGCCTGAATACTAGACTAAAATGTCCTAGCATTATTGAAGCACCAGAGGGGGCTGTGCTCTAAGATTTGGTTAAATAGTAAAGTTAGCTCTTTTGCACCCTCAGTAACTTTCCTTGCTGTATATGTTAAAACAACAAAATCAGAGGCTGCTGTTTGCTGGTGTTAGTCATTTGAAAAGCCTGAATGTAGACAACAAAACACATCTATAAACTCCTTCTCTCCTTGTAACAGAACCCAGAGGACCTAACAGAGATGGAGGTGGCCCAGCAACCAGCAAAAGTGGTGCTCAACCATCGTTGGGGGGCTTGTTTGCAGGTGGCTTTCCCATGCTGAAACCGGTTGGCCAAAGAGACATGACGGGTAAGGACACTTTTCTGTAGGAAAGAACAGACGAATGAAACTGGGATTGTAATGTGAAATAAAAACACTCCATGTTGCTTTTGTGATTTTTTTTTTAAACCTTTGATTTATTTTGGCACCAAACTAATACAGCCCTTTATGTGCACCTGAATCCTCCTTGTCTGTGCCTCTGCCTTTAAATGCTAAATAGTAAACCCTCCAGACCAATGATAAGAAAAATTGCCTAATATAGAGATACTCTATGCTTTTAATCCAGTTCCTCAAATCTACTGCACTACAGATGTGCATATTGCTTTAGAGGCACATAAGAAAAATCCCTGCCCTCTGGAGCTTACAAAGTTAGACCTTGATCTAGCAAATTACTTAGGGCCAGGCTTTCAAAGGTATTTAGGTGCCTAGTGGGATTTTCAAAAGTGCCTGTGCACCTAGCTCCCATTGATTTCAATAGGCACTTTTGATGATCTCACTAAGTGCCCGTAGTCAATGGGACTTGGGCATCTAAGTAATTTTTTATGAAGATTTCAGCCTTAAGCAGCTATCTAATTTTAAGCATGTGGGCTTTCACATTGACTTGAATGGGGCTAGTTACATACTTAGGCGCATGTTTAAGTGCTGTGCTGGACTGGGGCCCAAGGAACTAAATCTCCATACCCCCTGATCACATGAGTAGTCCCATTGATTTAAATGGAACTACTTGGGTGTGTAAGAGCTACTCCTGTGAATGTATGTTTGTAAGGAAGCCCCAAGTAAGACATGACACAGTAACAGTAACAAAAGTGTGGGGGGGGAAGCGGTGTGAGGGCTGAAGGTGGTAACACTAAAGGAGTGTGAGTTATGCTTTAATTGTGCTCTTGTTAATGTTTTGTAGTCTTTATATAAAATATTTAATTATAATTATAACAAAATATTGGTAATTTGTGGGAGTTAATGAACGCTAAAAGGCCCTATCTTCACAGGAGGAATTTTCCAAAAATTTCCCACTGTTTTTGAGATCCACTTAGCTCCAGGGGTACTAGTAGTGTAGACAGAGAGCCTGTTGCTGCCACTGTTTTATGTACCACCTCACCTAATCTTCCTCAGAGGAGTTGCTTTTAAGGCACAGTTGACCCCCAAGCTTGTTAACACTAATGCAGCTGAACTGCTGTTGGTAAAGGTGGGAAATTTTGAAAAATTGTCCTAGTCTTGATGGTGCCTAAGAGGTCAGTATTAGAAGTGAGCTGAGAAAAGAGTCTAGAAGGTTGCTTGGTCTCAACGACGTGTTCACTTTTAGTCATCCCAGTCGTGGCATAACTGCAAGGGTAGATATCATATACACTGTATCTTAGGGCACATTGGATTATTCACCTAATGCTTTTAAAACAAGGACTTAGAAATTGAAACTAGAACCTGCAGAACTTCCCGAGTCACTTTTCTAGTGGCTTTTATATAGACCTGTTTCTCCAGGGATAAGAGGAGTTGGCTTTCAGTATCTGGTTACCCTGTTGTGATCAGACTATCACCATAGTTTATAGAAGGGTCATCTTCACAGATAATGGGCTTCATGTCTCCATTCTCTCTCTAATGAGATATGGAATTGAAATTGTCACTGTGTGATTGGTTAAGCCACTAAGGGTATGTCTACACTACGAGGGTAATTCGATTTTACTTAAATCGAATATGTGGAATCGATATTGCAAAGTCGAACGTGTGTGTCCACACTAAGGACACACTAAGGACAGTAATTCGACTTTGTGAGTCCACACTAACGGGGCGAGCGTCGATATTGGAAGCGGTGCACTGTGGGCAGCTATCCCACAGTTCCCGCAGTCCCCGCTGCCCATCGGAATTCTGGGTCGAGCCGCCAATGCCTTCTGGGTAAAAAAAATTTGTCGTCATCCGTCCGTCACTAACGCCCTCCCTCCCTCCATGAAAGCGCCGGCGGGAAATCAGTTCGCGCACTTTTCTGGTCAGTGACAGCGCGGACGCCACAGCACTGCGATCATGGATCACGCTGCGACCATCGCTGCACTTGTGGCCGTTCTCAACACCTCGCAGCTTATCATACACCTTTCCCTGAGGCAGATGAAGAGTAATCAGGCGAGGAGGCTACAACACCGCCGTGATGGCCTGAAGTCGGAGAGTAGCACAGAGCTGTCAGAAACCACGAGCCCCAGCGCCCAGGACATCACGGTGGCAATGGGTCATGTGGATATCGTGGAACGGCGATTCTGGGCCCGGGAAACAAGCACGGACTGGTGGGACCGTATAGTGCTTCAGGTCTGGGATGAATCCCAGTGGCTGCGAAACTTTCGCATGCGGAAGGGGACTTTCCTCGAACTTTGTGAGTTGCTGTCCCCTGCCCTGAAGCGCAAGGACACCCGCATGCGAGCAGCCCTGACTGTCCAGAAGCGAGTGGCCATAGCCCTCTGGAAGCTTGCAACGCCGGACAGCTACCGGTCAGTCGCGAACCACTTTGGTGTGGGCAAATCTACCGTGGGGGTTGTTGTCATGCAAGTAGCCAAGGCAATCGTGAAGGTACTGCTCCCAAAGGTAGTGACCCTGGGAAACGCGCAGGTCATCATAGATGGCTTTGCCGCGATGGGATTCCCAAACTGCGGTGGGGCTATAGATGGGACTCACATCCCTATCCTGGGACCGGACCACCAGGCCAGCCAGTACATCAATAGAAAGGGCTACTTTTCAATGGTGCTGCAAGCACTGGTGGACCATCGGGGACGGTTTACAAACATCTACGTCGGATGGCCGGGCAAGGTTCATGACGCTCGCGTGTTCAGGAACTCTGGTCTGTTTAGACGGCTGCAGGAAGGTATTTACTTCCCGGACCACAAGATAACTGTTGGGGATGTGGAGATGCCTACAGTGATCCTCGGGGACCCAGCCTACCCGCTAATGCCCTGGCTCATGAAGCCCTATACTGGCGCCCTGGACACAGAAAAAGAACTGTTCAACTACCGGCTGAGCAAGTGCAGAATGGTAGTGGAGTGTGCTTTTGGCCGTCTCAAAGGGAGATGGAGAAGCTTACTCACTCGCTGTGATCTCAGTGAAACCAATATCCCCATCGTTATTGCAGCTTGCTGTGTGCTCCACAATCTGTGTGAGAGCAAGGGGGAGACCTTTATGGCGGGGTGGGAGCTAGAGGCAAATAGCCTGGCTGCTGATTACGTCCAGCCAGACAGCCGGGCCATTAGAAGATCCCAGCGGGACGCCCTGTGCATCCGGGAGGCTTTGAAAGCTAGGTTCCTGAGTGAGCAGGGCAACCAGTGACTTTTCAGTTTGTGGACAGAAAAGCTGAACCTGCCCCCGTTTCTTTACCCAGTTCATTTTGACTATCCTCTCCAGTTACATACAACCTTCACCCCCTTCCCCTTCCCAAAAAATAAAATCATTTCGATTTTTTAATGAACACCGTTGTCTGTATTGCTGTTTTCGCGGGAATATTTTAAACCGGGGACGCAGACTGTGGCGGGGGGCGGGTTCAGTGTTCTGATGCAAATGATGCTTCTAAACTCCCGGAATGACAGGCTCCGCACTGGTGGACTGGTTATTTCAATGGAGCCTGCCAGCACTCCTGGTGGGGACTGTGTGTATGTGTCGGCTATGTGACTTTCTGGCAGGGGGGGTAGGGTTACATATCCCCTGCTGCGTGGATCTGTGAGCCAGGATAAGGACCGCTGCATAAGATCTGTAACTGCCCTCCCCCGCCACAAAGTCACAGAGCAACCCCCCCCCCCCAGAACATGGAAAACACCTCCCAGACTGACCAGGGTAACCAGTGACTGCACTGTGTATGTGTCCTGATGCTGGACCTGACACCGCCTCTCTACCCTGCTAAAGGTCACTGTCCTGTCCAATTACCAAGCCCCTTCCCCCCCTCCAGACAGACTCTCCCTCAAAAGAACCTGACTGAAACAGTAATGAACAGAAACATATTTTTTATTAACAACCAGACAGGAAACTGGGGGGTGAAAGTCGGACGGGGGCTTGGGTGAGGCGGGCAGGAAAGGACTTTTCAAATTTTGGGGAATGACAGCCTTCTGGTGCTTGAGCAGTCTGCAGGGGTGGAGTGAGAGTTTTCACGGACTCTGCCACCCCTCCTTCTTTGGACTTTGGGAGAGGGAGGTATGGGACTTGGTGGCGGGGGACTGCGGTTCCTGATAGACTGCTGCGGGGCTCTGTCCTCCTGCCTCCGTTCCTGCAGAACATCAACAAGGCGCCGGAGCGTGTCCGTTTGCTCCCTCAGAAGTCCAAGCAGCGTTTGAGTCGCCTGCTGGTCTTCCTGCCCGCCACCTCTCCTCACGTTCCATGTGTGTCCGGTGCATTTGTGACAAATTCTCCCTCCACTGGTTCTGCTGTGCTGCCTGGGCTCAGGAGCAGCCCATTAGTTCTGAGAACATGTCCTCTCGCGTCTTCTTCTTTCTCCGCCTAATGTGCGCTAGCCTCTGGGAGTGTGATGCCAAGCTGGGTTAGGAGACAGTTGCAGATGTGGCTGTGGGAATGAGGAAAAGGCAGTGAATTCCTCCGAAAGATAAATGTGGTTGTGAATCAAGAACATAGTTTTTCTCTGTGAACAAGACCATGAACCACACCTATCACATGCGCACTCCGGACAAGGTCGAATTTTCGAACCTCGCCTTCAGTGCCTGGGCTTTTGCACTGCCGATCTGGGAAGCGGGGCAGGACACGGTACTCTCTGTAGCAGGCAAACATGGTAAGCCGTAGACTTGTGGCTGCTTAAAACTGTAGGAGTACTACTGGCCTCCTTTCACATTGAAAGCACTGCCAGTCTGTGCTGCCAGCAATCGGCCAAGCAGGAACTCTGGCCCTGTCCCACCCCCCTCGCGGATGAGCCAGGGAAAGATCCCTGTATGCTGCCCCTCTCCCGCCCCCACCGCGTGGCTGTAAACCAGCGGTCACAGTTCTGTAAAGGAACTTGTTGCAAGCAGTCCCAATACTAACAGTCCCCTACTTAATTCAAAGCAGGTCATCATGAGCGACATAACTCTCATGAGGATCCCGGACACCGAGATCCAACGGATGCTTCGAGAAAGCCTGCAGAGACCGGGGCCCTATGCCGCCATGCTATGCAAGGCAATGATACCGGAGTACCTGCTTGTCTCCTGGCGCGGGAACGTCTCCTACTTCGGAGGACCAAGTAAAGCCGCTCTCCCCAGGAACCTGATGAACAGGCTATCCCATTACCTGCAGCAGAGCTTTGTGGAGATGTCCGTGGAGGACTACTGCTCTATCCCCGGACATATAGACAGGATTCTAATATAGCTGCAGTAGCAGGCACTAAAGAGTGGAGCAGCTTGGGCAGCACAATAATGCAGAACCGGACACTGTTTGATTTTTTTTTAAATAGTTGTTACTGATTACTTAAGCGCCCAGGGGGAAGAAATCATGATTCACAGATTGTTCTTAGTATTAATATTCAAGTTTTGTAAAAAATAAAGGTTAATATGTTTAAAGCACTTACCGCTTGATCCTTCGCCTGAATCTGTGTCCAGGTTACATGCTGGGGAGGGTTGGTAGGGGATCTCTGTAACGGTGATGAAGAGCTCCTGGCTGTCGGGGAAATCAGCTTGGTAAGCGCTGTCGACTGCCTCGTCCTCCTCATCTCCTTCCTCCTCTTCCCCGTCCGCTGAGGAACCGGCCGTGGACAATATCCCATCCTCAGAGTCCACGGTCAGTGGTGGGGTAGTGGTGGCGGCCGCAGCAAGGATGGAATGCAGTGCCTCGTAGAAACGGGATCTGTGGGGCTGGGATCCGGAGCGTCCGTTTGCCTCTTTGGTCTTCTGGTAGCCTTGTCTCAGCTCCTTGATTTTCACGCGGCACTGCGTTGCATCCCGGCTGTAGCCTCTCTCTGCCATGGCTTTGGAGATCTTCTCGTAGATCTTAGCATTCCTTCTTTTGGAGCGCAGCTCTGAAAGCACGGACTCATCGCCCCACACAGCGATGAGATCCAAGACTTCCCGATCAGTCCATGCTGGGGCCCTCTTTCTATTAGATTGCACGGCCATCTCTGCTGGAGAGCTCTGCATCGTTGCCACTGCTGCTGAGCTCACCTCGATGTCCAAACAGGAACTGAGATTCAAACTGCCCAGACAGGAAAATGAATTCAAATTTTCCCGGGGGTGTGGCTGGTCAGAGCATCCGAGCTTGGACTGCTGTCCAGAGCGTCAACAGAGTGGTGCACTGTGGGATAGCTCCCGGAGCTATTACCGTCGATTTCCATCCACACCTAGCCTAATTCGATATGGCCATGTCGAATTTAGCGCTACTCCTCTCGTTGGGGTGGATTACAGAAATCGATTTAAAGAGAGCTTTATGTCGAACTAAATGGCTTCCGGGTGTGGACGGGTGCAGGGTTAATTCGATATAACAGCGCTAAAGTCGACATAAAAGCCTAGTGTAGACCAGGCCTAATAAATTGATTCCTCCCCCAATACAAACCACAAAATTGTCTCAATTTCCTGTGGCAGTCAGAAGACAAACCTTTCTGAACCAGGAATGAAAATGAACAAGTGTTTTATGAGATTTCCTAGCTGGACCTAGAGACACGAGTTAAAAATTAAAATTAAAACCTGAGCATGAAAACATGAATTTTATTCCATTTCCTCTGATAGTTTTGCAATATGCTGGACCAGGATCAGTAATGCATTCTGGATGCACTGTGTTAGTAATGCACAGTTTGGATGCATTGTGTTAGTAATATGAAGCTCTGGGGAAAATATTAGTTGAATTTCTTGAAAATGTGTCAATTAACTAATCACTCAATTAAGTGAAAATGTCCTGGGACAGTTAATTAGAACTGAAACTGATCTTCTCGCTCAGGGGCTGTGTGTGTAAGTTTAGGGGAGCTATGGATTCAAATATATTGCCTTTATCAATGGAAAATAAATGCTTGCTTGATAGTTGGACCTTTTGAAACAGTAAATGGGCTTGTCACAGAACTGCTTCCTAATCACTAAAGGCTGCTGTGGGTGCCAAAATGGTGGAGTTTCTCTTTCAGAACTAATGTAGGCTCAGACACTCTGCATCCTGTGCGCCTGCTGTGTCCAGATAGCCCTGGTGTATGTGGCTGAAATAGCCACAAAGTTATGGAGCCAACCTTTTAGTTATGGCCCACCCCAAAAATCCATGGGATGGAGGGATCCCCACAGAGCACATCTGCACAGTGTGCAGGAAGTAAAGTGTGCACATTCACCGCATTGGAACCACACTAGTTCTGTGGCCTATTGTGTCTTCCCCATCCACTGATGGAGAAGGATTTTCCCAGTATGATTGATGTTTGGGACAGAGCTGGATCAGCAAGCAGAGGAAGGTATTGTACCAGAGTTGGTGTTTTTGAGAATTTGGTTTATAACATTAGCTCTGCAGCCAGATTTGCAAACTGATGAATCTGGGGCCTCCCAGTCAGAGTTAAGAAACCATGATGTGCATCGCCTGCCTTCAGAGGCTGAGAGAGGAGAATTAGAATAACACTTGCATTTTTTATTGGCCATTGTAAAAGGCAGACTAAGTGGAATATTCTAAAAGTGCAACTTTCTGAGTGGACCAAGTCAGTCTCCAGGGCTTATGCCAGACAGGAGCAGGCATGAGCAATTTTTAAAACTATGCTGAATTGGGTACCAACCCACATGCTGTTCTTAAGGCACTTGTCTGTCTTTTCATCTCATTCTGCCTTGTGCAGAGTGGAAAGCCTGTGTCATGAGCTGTCACTTATGACCTCCAGAATTTTCCCTAGAGTAGTTTTTCCCCTCAGGTTTGTCAGGCTCTCACATAAGGGGGTACTAAAATGGCTGATAAACTGGAGAACGTTAAGAGGAAAACGAACAAGTGTCTCTTGTACCAAAGCCTTGAAACCCAACCTGGTTATTTGGGGGGCGGGCGTGGTCTCTCTATTTCATTCCAAGCCTCTCAACCTCTGTCTGCAGCAGTCATGGACTCCACAGCTATTTTTCTTACTAACCGGACCCCACTGATTTCAAGGCACAGAGGTAGTGAGAAGTAAGGTGAGATCTCCCTCTCATAGTGGCTCTGGGATTCATGAAGGGGGGACTATCAAAGTCCAATCTGCAGTGGGCCACAGCATTGACAAAGGTGACTGGTTTGGAGGAACAGGTTGGTTTGAGAGAAATGGCCTTGCTCCTAGGTGGCTGAAATTCCATCTAAATGCCCTAGAGCCAAGCACCATGAGAAGGGCCCTGCTTTTCATTCCTCTTTTAGTCTGGTCAGATAATACCATGGTAGTACTCTAGCCACAGAGACAAAGGGGAATCAAATGCCTTCTCTCCACCTAGCACTAACAGGCTGGATGTCTTTGTCCCCAGGGCTTTCCACAGCATGGGAAAGTGTTACCAGATTTATTGAGTGGTTATTGATTATATTGGCTGTTCAGAGTTTCCAGCTAGTCACTGGTTAAACTTCTGAGGTTCAAAAGGTTCTAGTCCCAGAATCAGGTGGAACAGAATTCAGATTAAGTTCAGTGTCTGGTAGGAACCCTGACATGCCCAATGGTGACACTAGCACTGAGGGCAGAGCAAAGCTTTAACTACTTTTATTAGCACAATTAGTAAAAAAAACCCACATATATTCCAAACCAAATGAGATAGTAGCTACAGTGTAAAATCAGGCTGATGTCCTTTGCACATACGGTCATATTTCTCATGGAGACCTAGTGGTGATCCACGACGGTCCCACCCTGCCTCTGGCATACCAAGCGAGGTCAATGGTCAAGATCTTGAGGCTTACATGGTGGTTTGGACTATTCTAGGGTCTGTTAGCTGTCATGAATATATTAATGCCTGGCCTCTTTTGTCCATAACTAGCTTCCTCGTTCTAATAATGTTTGCATGTCTTTATTTTATGGGTTAGTATATTAATGATCCCAACTTATTATCATATACATCGATTTGTTGCCAAGGCAAGTTCGTGGTTATGCATTTGCAGATGTTCCAGCCCTAAAATATCCAAAGCTTGTATCAGTTTGATTTCCTGCAGTTACCTGGTATCATTTTATACAAGCTTTTAACAAAAATCCCCAAAGTAGCCCAATCCTGGTTCCCCAATAGCTTAGGGTCGCTGTTAGGCAACTCGCTTATGCTAAATCTCAGATGCCTCAAAGTCTTATGCTAGCTACTTAAATTAATGTCTTACAGGCTGTAGGTTTCTTGCATTACTGCTAAATAAAATACCTTTAATTTAACTCTATGGGCTACAGAAAGGTAAGTTTTCAAACAGATTGGTTACACAGAAGCCCACTCCTCTACAGAGAATGGGCACACTTCCTGTTTCATGGGGAAACTGAGGCAAAGAAATGAAGTGACTTGCCCACGGTCACCTAGCAGGCCAGTGGCAGAGGTCTCCTGAGTCCCAGTCCAATCCCCTAGAACACGCTGCCTCCTCAACCCCATCAAGTTAGAGATTGTCCATTGCAGAAATACTATTTATGGCACGTGTGTGGTGGGGGAGTGTCGAATCTCTTGCAGTATTTTAGTAAAAGTTTTATTGGGCAAATAGGACCAGCTCCTTTTCTGCACTATTTTTATCGGACGATTTGAAACCATGCTTACGTGGTGGTCTTTAATGATCTACCTTGAGGCTTGTGGTTTTGTTTTCCAGCTGGCAAGGCTGGGCAGCTGCCTGGAGTACGAGTGCCTCCTCCAAAGTCTCCAGCCCCATTGAACAGCAATGCCAAAGCAAGCAGTCATGTTTCAAGTCCGCCTGATTGTCCAAGAGCAGCACACCCATCGGAGCTACCCAGTGGGCCACGAGCAGGACCAGCTCGGCCCAGCATGCCTGCCCCTCCCCCACCTCCGCCAGTTTCCAGCAAACCTTCCCTTGTTTTCCCACCTCCTCCACCTCTTCCCTCTCCTCTGGAAAAACCTGCAAAAGTGTCACCCCCGAATTTGGTTCCTCCACCACCACCACCTCCTCCTCCTCAGAGTGACAAGCCCGCCAAGGTTCAAGCAACAGCTTTGTACCTGCCGCCTGCTCCCCTGCCCCTGGCACTGCCTTGTGGATTGCCAGTCAGAACAACTGACTTTCCTAGTACTTCTCCCCTACAGCCTGATTTGAGGGATTATCCACCTCCAACTCCTCCTCCGCCTCCACCACCACTGCCTCCTACTTCTTCACCCAGGGGATCCTTGCCGCTGCCACCCTCCCCTACCTTTAACAGCGCTGTGAACAGCCATGACATTCCACCCGCACTGCCCCCCAAATCTCCACACTTGCTGTTCCAAAAACCTGGTATTCAGTCCATGCCTCTCCCTCCTGCCCCACCCTTCTCTCAGCCAGCTGCAGCAGTGCAGAAAAAGAGACAAGGCAGAGGTGCAGGTAAGTTTTGAAAAAAAGTTTTCAAACTACACAAGGCTACAGAAAAATACAGCCCTAGTCTGGGAGCTACAGTGGCAGGAGAAGACAGGATGTCTGGAGCCACAGGATCTAGCCGCAAGTGTAGACAGGATCTCTGAACTTGGGAGCATAGATCACTGAGTTCCCAGTGAGAGCAGTTGCTCCTGCTGTGGGTCTGTCTGCCACACTGCTGAGAAAACTAGTCCGTGCTTGTTTTTCTCTTCCTGAGAGCTGAGCAGTGCAGCAGGTTGGAACCAACTTTAGGACAATAAGTATTAAGTGGATTTCCTGGGGAATCCCTAGGGAGAGATTAATTCCAGTTATGCAAAAACCCAGCTTTTTGAAGCTACACCCTTAGGGAGAGGGTCATTGTCTGCTGACTACCTGTTACAGAAGACTTTTATAAATAAAAGGCTGATCTGCCCAGACTGGGTTCTTGATATAAGATAGATGAGCTTGTAACCATGGGGAAAACCTAGTTGTAGGTTTCAAAAGACTAAAACCTACCAGAGCCCTAGTTTGGAGTGATCTCTGGTAGGCTTTTTAGCATGCATGTAAGTTCTTTTATTGTTTTAATGTTTTCTCTGTAATGCTTTTACCTCAAGAATAAATGTGATTGCTTATAACTGTGGAAAATACACAGGTCATGACCCTATGAGAGAAAGCAAAGCGCAGGCACTGGCCTTTTTCAGCAGTCTGGCTCCCTGAAGATATCACAGTGTAAAGCAGGGAGCTGTGCAGCCTTAAAATCCCTGGTCAGCAGAGTGAGAGGCAGGTTTCTGCTCTAGAGAGGTGACAGCAGAGAACCGGAACTCTAAAGTGGGTGCCCTTTGTGAATCATGGAGGGGGAATACAGGAGCAGTTACCCTGAAACTGTGACATATAGGGTGGCAGTGTGTGTGAGTTCTATGACCGTGTGAATTTCTGTAAGTGCCAACGGCAGTGAAAGAAGCGTAGAAGGGCAAAGCACAGAGAAAAGTCGCAGAGTCTTTACAGGAAAGGAACAGTGAAAAGAAAGAGGAAAATGAGTTATGAACAACTGAAGAGAAGACAGCTAGTTGAGCTATGTAGAGAAAGGCAGCTCAACACTGAAGAGTAGACAAAGGCAAAGCTAATGAACTTGCTGTATTCTGATGAGGATGAGGAAGAGGAATGATGGGTCAGGTTCACAAAGAAAATCCAGCCCACTGACAGAGTCCAGCAGGCAGAAAAAATCTTAGAGCCAACTCCTTGGAGAGAAGCAGGGAAGAGGTTGATAGAAACAGCCTCCATGTTCCATCCAGACCAAATGCATCATTGCAACAGGGATTGGGGACAGATCTACAGGCTAGATCTAGAGAGGATACAGGTGGAGAGGGGCAGACTGCATCTGGAAATCCAGCTACTTGTAGACCAGAAGTGCCAGTTTGAAAAAATATGAAATTGGGTTTGTGAGAATGAGAAATATGCAGCTTCCCATAATAAAAGCCAGTTAAAGGGGATGGTCTGAACCTTACATATTGGCAGCAATGTGTAGAGAGAGCAATTAATTGACTATATTTTTTTAAAGCTAAGGGAAACCCCTTTTAAATATAATGGGTCGGGTATTCAGAGATAGTGATGAGTATAGAATAGATAGAATCACTACAGCGGTAATGCTTGGAATGTGGCAGCTATAAAATAACCTACTGCCATGGTGCCATTTGGCTTTGAACTAAACATTGTCTCAGGTCTAAAGTCCAATCAGTTCATTTTTCAAAGGAATGTCTTAAGAACTCATTCATCCATTACTGTATCTTTATGTGCTGTCTGCTTCTTTTTAAGTAAGCAACACGGGGAAGTTAATTCCGCCTCCGCTGCCTCCAGCAAGATCACCATCAACTGAGCTTACGAGCAAGTGTCCATATACCCAAGTTTCATCGTGGCCAGCTGCACATGAGCCCTATCCACAGCACAGAAATGGACACATGCACATCATTGGTAATATTTTCTAAATTAAACCTCATTGCTGTACTTGAAAGATTTCAACACAAAAGCCTGATAAGTATACATACTACCAAAACCCCATCTCACAAATCTTACAGTAACTGTGAAAGTCCAGTGAGCATGAAGTCTACTGTGAAAAAGCAGTATAACGAGAGATATTCTCTGTAGTGTTCCTCTGTAGAAGAGCCTTATACAACAATAAAGTTATAACTTTTCATTAGGTTTTTGGACTGTCTGATAGAATGGAAAAGTAGACACCTGTTGTAAAATTCTACAGGACAGTGCAAAATGCTATACAAAAGTAATAA